GTGCTGAGGGATTGACTTCACTTGTTTCTTTGATGAGTTCGTAGCTTGGTGCGGAGACTGGCAAAACTCACTGATAATGCCGACTACAATGCCAGCGAAACGTTTGAGATTGTACCAAGTCCACTGTCTGATGCTTGGACTCATGACAACTACTATGGCAGACGACTTCGGACTAGGTGCATTCTACTAAGGGGCCCTGACAACAAGACCAAGTTGCGACAACGAGGTCAACCCACTTCATTTGTGAGGTACAGCAGGCGACCAGGCATAGACTTTCACAGTTTTCTCCGGGTACATTAGTTGACTCAGAGAAATGAGTAGTAATGACAATGCCTGATATCTGCAAGTATGGAAATCAGAACCTAGGCCCTCTGCCCAGTGAGGCGAAAGTGCATGTGGTTCCAAAGGCTTGAGAAATAGCATCTGGATAAAATGTATATTGGGGCTGGAATCGAGTGAAATCAGTTAGCCAGAAAGATAAGAAACGAATCTACGGGCCCACGAGGGGAATTTGGATTGGAGGTCCAAGTCGGATCAGCAAATCGAGGGGGAGACGCAAGGTGTTATTACTTCACACTAAATTTGTTAAAACGACATACTTATAGAGGAGTGGAATAAAAATGATTCACAAGTTGTGATAGGGAGGGAGTGAGATAAGAACGTAAGGAGTAGATAGATGTGCCAGGACCGAAAGAGGAATAATAGCACAAGCATTCGGAAGAGAGAGTTGGTCAAAAGATTGACTTCACCTGCCTCTGACCAATTGTAGCTTGGTGCTGAGATTGATCAGACTCACTGATGATGCCGACTATAGTGCCGTCGAAACGTCTGGGGATGTACCAAGTCTACGGTCCAACACAGGGATAATGTTGACTACTATAATCGAGGGCTTCAGACAAGGGGCGTCCAATTAGGTTGCCCTGACAGCATGAGCAAGTAGGGAAAGCTAGATCGCTACATTAATAAAAATACTAATGAAACAATCTACGGATTTTAGCAGGTACTCCATTAAAATCCACTTTTGTTGTCGTATCGAAATCTAGAGTGAAGATTTTTCTTTATAGGAGAATAGTCCAAGGTGAGACGAAGCAATTAATTTTAGCATACTTAACTTTGATCTCATTTTGTGATAGCCCCTGATTGTAAGCACTCAATTCAAGAGGTAGTATTTCCATGTACATGAAAAACCAAAGCAGCTTGGATACAAAGACCAAGATGTTGTGGCCTCTATTTTGGCCGAGGTCTCCTTTCGATGTATATATGTGGTCTGACCTCGTTTTCGCAACTTGGTTGTGTTGTCAGGTGGACTTAGTTGGACGCACTTTACCCGGAGTCCTCTGCGATAGTAGTTGTCATATTGCGCCGGCACCGCCGAGGCGTCTTGCCATTCCCAGCTCCAAGCTACAACTCGTAAAAGAGACAAGTGAAATCAATCCCTTGACCGACTTTCTACCGAAATAGCTATGCTATCACTCCTATTTTTGTCCCGGCCCCTCTATCGACTCCCTACTCTCAAGTCTCACTCTCGCCCAGCAACAACTTCTGACTTATGATATAGAGAGAATCTGAATTCCGAATAATCCCTTAATAAATGATATTGGCATACCTTTAATTTCGTTTGCGAAGACAGGTGGAAGTGATTCGTAGATTGGCCGTACTGCAGGAGGGTTGCCTTGAAGTTTTGTCCGTTGAATTGTGCGAAGAAGATCTCGGCTTAGCGTATTACGGCCACGATGACTCCGTGCTGAGTTTTGGTCCGTAATGTGACGGACATCGTCAGAGCCAGAAACCATTATCCACGAAATAGTCACAAAAATACGCTAAACCAAGAAAGTTGGCCAGCTGAGATCCTACTTACTTCCTATACCTTACTTTGCGATATTACTGAGGCATTCCATGATCTGGTTGGCTGCTTTATGCTTGTCCTACATGCATGTAAGCGAGTTAAAGTGATGCAGGAAGGGGAGCGGATGTGATCACAATTTTTTGTATATTGCAAAGTGAAGTATAGGAAGTAAGTAGGATCTCAGCTGGCCACCTTTCTTGGTTTAGTGTTTTTGTGTGTGATTTATTTCTAAATAATGGTTTCTGTTTCGGCACATGATGGACGAAATCTCAGCACGGAGTCATCGGGGTCGTAGGACGATGAGCCCAGGTCAATAGACAACACACCAAGGCAACACTCCTGCAGTATCCGGTGCAGCCAATCGACGAATCCCTACCACCCGCCTTTTCAAACGAAGTGAAAGGTACATCAGTATCAGCTTCTGACTTGCTTTTATTCAACTGCTTAAGAGGCGTGTCCTTTTACGAGTTCCCCGTTGTGTCATCACACCTGAGGTTCACCTTGCCCTCCGCCTTTTGGAGTGGCGGATCCGACTCGGGCCTCCAATCCGGATCTGCTTCAAGGGCCAGTTGATCCGTTTCTTATCATCTGGTTGACAGATTTCAATCGGTTCCAGCCTCAGTGTACTTTTTAACCCAAACGCTATTTCTAAAGATTTCAGTAATACGTACAAAGTCATCTCACCAGAAGAACGCCTAGGCTCTAATTCCCATGCTAGCGGATATTAGGCATTACCTAAACTCGTCATCTCCTTGATTTAATCTGTGTATCCTAAGGAAACTGGGCACTTCTATCCTTGACGGCAGGTTACCTCCCGAGTGGATTTCTAGTCAAGTGACTATGAGCCCGTATTCCTTTGACGAGTGTGATCATCCGTTCCCCTAGTCGCGTGACTGCCAGGCCCCAAAACTGTAGTTGTTTCTTCGAACAAACTGTACTCACTGAGAACGTCTTCGCTTTATTTTCGAAATATCCTTGCCCTCCTCTTCATTGCAAATCCTGTTCCTCTGGTTTACGATGGATCCTTAAGCTATGCGTCTCCTTTTTTACTTGTCTTATTGTATCCTTGTTTTCTCCGAGTTTGATTTGGCAATAGACAAAGTTATCGCTAACTCAATCTTCTTCCAATCCCTTGTTAATTAAGTTTTTTTCCCCAAGGATGCCAATGGTCTCTCTAATCTTCCGTTTCTTTGGTTCTTTTCACCATATGAATCCCTTCTTTCTGTTGCTTTTAAATTGATCCCCTGTCCATTCTGTGCAATATGTTCCGCTATTTCTTATCTTTAGTTATGCATTTTCTTGCAGCCTTTGATATTCCTTGATTCACTTGCTAATTGTTCTCCGTTTCGTCAATTTAAATGCAGACTCCGCATTCTATGCAGTAAACTTCTGAGCAATCCGATTTGTTCACCCTCTCACCTTATTTGGGTAGGATTGTGAAGGCTGTTGGTTTTTCTTTCGTGGTCACATGAATATTCCATTTTCTCAATATTGGCCATATTTTTTAGCTAGTTCAAGGATGTTAGGCATATCCACTTTTGTGAGCCTTTCTCCATCCTTTACTTTCTTTCATAGTCTCTTTCCTGCCATCTGCTCTTCAAGGCCCGTATGTTTCTCTCTATTACTTCTCTCGGGTACCCATTGTTGAGGAATATCAGAGTCAACTTTTCCAATTCTTTATCCCGGAATTCCACGTCCGTTAATTGTAGACTTCTGATCATCATGCTCCTCAGTATCCCTAGCTTCACTCTTTAGTTGTAATGGAACTATAATTTGAGTACTATTTTGGCATATGCAGCAAATTAGAGCAAATGACTCTAACATCTATGAAAGAGAAACTCCCCTCTTCCTCTACTTCTAGTATTAACTTGATTTTTTCATCAATACGGTGTATAAACTTAAGAAAATCCTCAATTTTTTCTCTTCCATGCAACCAAATTGCGAAGTAGTTATCCATGTACCGCATAAGAACTCTTGGTTGCATATATGCCATCCTGAAATTCTCTTTTAATTTGTTAATGCATACATTTGCCAATATAGGTGAGAGATAAGTTCCTATAAGAGGTCTAAATTCCTGTCCATAGATTTTGCCGTTATGTGAAGTAGGAAATTCTCTGCTATAGTAGTTAAAATAATTCCCAGCATCAGACTATGAACTTGGTACATTCTCAGACGTTTCGCCGGCATCGTGGTCGGCATCATCAGTGAGTCTTGTTATTCTCCGCACCAAGCTACAAACTCGTCAAAGATACAGGTGAAGTCAATCCCTCAACGGTTATATCCTGAAATTCTCTTCTGCTTTGGTCATGTATACATTTGCCAATAGAGGTGAGAGAGGCAGGCCCATAAGACCTACAACTGACTATTTATAGATTATGCCGGTGAATATGAAGTAAGAAGTTCTTATTGTCAAGTTGATTAGTCGTGTTAACGACTCCCTCATTATACTCTGCTTCTAGGATAACCTCTTCTCAATCCAAAATTTCTACCAGGGCCATTATAGCCTTTTCTCCAGAAATGTTTGTGGACATTGATCGTACATCAAAACGTACCAATTATTCTGTCTCTTCCAGTCTCATGCTTTGGGTTCTTTGATAAAATTCATACGAATGCTTCGGTGCTTTTGATAATATGCCTAATATCTACAAGCATTGGAGTCAAAGCCTAGGCGCACTTCAGGTGAGGCAAAATTGTACGTACTACTGGAGGCTTGGGAAATAGCGCCTGGAGTAAGAAGTACACTGGGGCTGGAATAGAGTAGATAGACTAGCCAGGACGGAAAGAGGAGTGAGAGCGCAACCGTTTCGGCAGAAAGCTTGGTCAAGGGATTGACTTCCCTTATCGCTGAAGCGTTGTAGCTTGGAGCTGAGAATAACAAGGAGCATTGACGATCTCGAATACGATGCCAGCGAAACGTCTGAGAATGTACCAGGTCTAAGGTCCTACGCTTGGAAATATGACAACTACTATAGTAAAGGACTTCGGGCAAAGTGCTTCCAACTATTTCACCCTGACAACATGACCAAGTTGGGAAAACGAGGTCAGACTACATTCATACAAAATCAATTTTCTTTATAAGGACGAAAACTTAATGAAAATTGGTCAAAGTTAGGTGAATACGGGATTCAATTAAAATGAATAGGTATCAATCAATTAGCATTTATATTATGCGAATAAGATGGGGGCATGAAATAAGCTAAGTAGATTCTATGACATAAACTTTTATAAGCTTCCGTTATTTTAAACTATTTTTGAGAAAGGTTATGTTCTCAATATCTCACATGGTGGAAAAATAAGAAAATGCCTCGCCTGATATCATGATTTTTAGAGCAAATAAGGACAAATGACATTTATCTTTTAACATGTAGCTTGAGCGTTTGTGGCTTACCGAGCATAGCTATAACTAAATTGATTATCAATGTGCTTGCCAAATAGCTTAAACTATTTGTTATAAGGTAACCTGCCTCGATAAAGTAACCTTTAATCAATTGTCTGGTTTGGTGTATACCTTTGAGATCATTTCCCAAAATGACTTTCGATGAAGGGAAAGAGGAAATAAAAGTGCCATTACTTAGAACTTCTGATAGTCTCGAAATCTACTTATGCAGTAATCAAAGTGAGCTCTTTCTTAGGTTAATGAACTATCAGAAAGTCCATGGAAGTGATTTTTTTGGCAGACAGTAGAAAGATTTATTTACTTTTCTAAGAACAGCTTGGAACCATTTTATCACATCTACATGGTCCGAAAATTACTTCGCTCCTCATTGGTCACGAGATGGACCTAACATCTGCGGAGTCGAGCAACACAATTCTCCTTTACGATCTTAGGCCTGGCAAATAAATTTCCTGAGATCTAGTTATCTAGATGATCAGATCAGACGCCGTTTCTCCTCATTATTACATGCAGGACGCTTGCAAAGCTGAACGCTAGTTAAACAAAAATGCCCTGCTGCGAAAGTCTGAGCGGAGTCATTCTCATATGGATCAATTCTATTCAAATGGTCAGACCATCTAGATTACCACAATTGTACAAAACTCAATTTATTATTAGTTTTGCAAAGAATATGCGGGGGAAAATCGCTCACAAAATCTTTTCACTTTCGTTTTGGCATGCTTTGGATAGTGATAAACAAGCTTCCTGAGAGACTTTAGTTTGATCTTCCTCGTGGCCTACATTTATGATCATTTAAGCATACCAGAAAGAACAATAGATCAGTAAAAGGCCCCTGCTGTCTGCAGAATTAGGCCCCTTTGGGACTAAGCACTTCTCTAATGGCTATGAAAGGCTTTCAACTTGGAAGATATTATGACCACGCCTTCTTATTTATTAAGTCTGCCTTGTAATAACGCGCAATGGCCTCAGATTAGGTTCACCTATAAACTAATAAATATTATAGAAGTTGTTTACCTTGTTTTCGAAACTCGGTCATATTGGTAGGAAGACTTAGAGGAACGCATCTAGTTCGGAGTCCATTGTCTGCATGATCATTTCCAAGGTTGAACCGTGGACATGGTACATTCCCAAACGTTTCGCCGGCATCATAGTCGGCATCTTCAGTGAGAATCGCCATTCTTAGCACCACACAACAACTCGTCAAAGAGACAAGTGAAGCTGATCCTTTGTCTTTTTGACGAGTTGTTGTGTGGTGCTAAGAATGGCGATACTCACTGAAGATGCCGGCGAAACGTTTGGGAATGTATCACGTCCACGGTTCAACTTTGGAAAGGATCATGCAGACAATGGACCCCGGACTAGGTGCGTTCCAATAAGTCTTCCTACCAATATGAGCATGTTGCGAAAACAAGGTCAAACAACCTCTATCTAGTTTATTCTTTGTGCTATATAATGCAAAATTTGATTCATTTGAATCCCATTTTTCTATTTTGTTCTGCTTACATTGGTAGTCCAATCATCATGACTTAACTTTTGCTATTCTTATAGTTTTC